AAACAAGAAAACTTGCAGCTATAAATAGCAAGGTATGGAGCATGAAGGCAATTAGGCTTAATATTTTAATCTCAATAACTAAAAGATCTACAGTAGCAACCTGCAGCCTTGCAACTCAGCTTCTCAAATGTGATTCTAAGGTTCATCAAGGACTTCAGAAATCTTCCCAAATAATCACAACTGCTAGACAGCTGTGCCTTATCATCAATACATTTGTAATTATCCCTAATGCTATGTTCTAAGTGTCTCCCGCTGATGATCTAGCCATTCTATAACTTTTCCTGAGAGTTCATCTTGGTCCTTTTCTCTGTGTTCCACACAGAGGAATACACCAGACCAAAATGAAATTATGTTCAGAAATCAATCTAAATTCCCATCGCTTATCCTACTATGCTTAAAAGTCTACATTTTTATATTTTCTTGTTTATTTTGGTTAATATGCTCTCTTGGTCTGTTTTTGGGTGTACTCTGGTTTTCACAGGTGCACTCTGTAAGCCCGAGAAAATACATAACTTTCTGGCTCTTCTTCTTCATCAGATGATTTGTCCTTCAGCATTTCTGACTGGAGAGACTGCAGAAGGTGGGATATTAATGTCAAGATACTACTCAAAAATTCCATTTTTTGGATGAAGCCTATTTAGGTAATAATCACAGAGAGAAAAGAATTGTCTTTCTAACATTTCAGAATAAGAAAGAGAATTTTCCAGAAAAATCTATGTAGGGCTCACCCAGGAGCTGCACTGGCAAAACACTTAACAGTAGCTTTGCCTTTATGACATGCTATTGCCTCCTAGACACTTCCAGCTGGAACAGTTACCTGAACAGGAGAAAACTGTCAGCCTGTAGCACATGTTCACGTGGAGGAGATAAACCATCCAGGGGAACGAGACAGTCCCACAGTTCATACTGTTTCATAACACGAGATAAGCTGGCGACTCTATCAAGCTCTGACATCTTTTAGTTATTCTAGAGCTGCTGATGAAATCTTTTCTCTGTTCCCTCCTTTCACACTTAGGTTTCCTGAGTCTGCATGATTATTTCTTTTGGATGCTCCAAAGCTTTGGTCAATCACTGGAAACTCAATTCTTACTGAAGTGAGATGGGTGACATGGTGTTAACAAGTACCAACTATTCCATTTTGTGAACATGTTTTTTTAGACTGTTGAGAGAAATACGACTGTCTAGATTAATTCCCCATATATTCTTTCTAAACAGTGCTTTCTCCTTACACAATGAAGTCCTATTAACAAAAAAACAGCTGGAATATCTGGTTCATTATACATTCAAACTGCAGAATAGAGAGCACATTTAATTTCTAGGATTACCTTGGTTTTAACTTAAATACTACCATCCAGTATTTATTACATCTCAAAAGAAATCCACATTATTTCACATTACAAATTAAATCAGAACTTCCATCTCATTTAAAGTGCTGGAAAAGAAACCATGTTCTGTGGTCCAAAAGAATTAATTTGAAATACCATTATGTGTTTGTGTTCCAGAGTCCTCCTATCTTTTCTGGTTTCGTTTTTTTCCCTTTAATATCTATCTCGTGGCTGTTAGAAATGCAGATTTTTATGAGAAGGTATGCTGCTGCTTGAAGTTAAAAAAAAAAAAAAGCACACAACAGTAGCAAACCTCTTTGCAATTTTCTATAGTTTTGGGGTTTTTTTCGCCTGGAGAAATTGCCGATAAGCACATTTGGTCGGTACGAACCCGCGCCCTGGCAGCCGCGGGGGACACACGGTCCGAGCGCTCCGGGTAACCCCGAGGGCGGCACAGGCCGAGCTCCGTCGCCGGACGGTGGGATCGAAAAGGCTCGTTCTTACTGGCTGGTGAGATTTGAATCGTTGTCCAATAGTAGCGAGGTTTTAAAAAAGGACCAATAGCGAGGCATTTCGTATGTGTGGTGACGTCACTGACACTCTGTCCAATGGAAGCGCTGATTTCTGATACCGGGGATTTGCATAAGGCCCCTATAAATGAGGGAGCAATCGCGGTCTCGGGCACTCCTGTGCGACAGAGCAGCCAGGAAGTGTTTGCTGTCATGCCCGAGCCGGCCAAGTCCGCGCCCGCGCCCAAGAAGGGCTCCAAGAAAGCCGTCACCAAGACGCAGAAGAAGGGCGACAAGAAGCGCAAGAAGAGCCGCAAGGAGAGCTACTCCATCTACGTGTACAAGGTGCTGAAGCAGGTGCACCCCGACACGGGCATCTCC